ATAACTGGTTGTAAAGTACTAAATGCATTCACAATTATTTAGTAAGGGAACAGTTGTCTTAAGATCTTTTAAAAGTGCACCTACTGAATGCTCTGATTTTTCTGCCTTTTTTTTATTTTAATTTTACTGTTGATTTTTCTATCCATGATTGAAATCTCCTCATGTACTTCGGTGTTGAAGGCTGGTTTTTATAGATGTGTGTGTATATATGTTTTTTTCCATCAGGACTTTTCCTCCTGTAGAGGTATAAGGAATAATGCATCAGACAAAAGCCTCATAAACTGACCATTTGTCCTTTGGACACAATAGCCTGCCCAGCCCCTTTGCTCCTCCTCTCCAATTATGTGTGATTAGTCTCAGTGTGTTGTGTCAAGAAGGGGGAGTGTGCTGAGTGCTTATTATCTGTTTAGGTACAAGAAGAGCACATTTAGGTTCTGACTATGAATGGAAAGTGAGCCTTTATCAGGACTAAAATCTAAATGCTACTATCCCCGAAATCGCTTCTAAAAAAATACATCCTTTTCTGATAAATTCCACAAAACACTATAACTAAAGGATTTTGTGGGTTAATCAAACTGTGTCCCTTGGATTATTTTATATTGTGATATATTTTGGCTCAAGTATGTAATAAACGTTTGATGTGACTTTTGTTGTACTAGGAAAGACAAAAAAAAAAAACAAACTACAAAGAAGCAGGAGCAATTTCTTATTTTATTAACAGTTTAATAGACCATTTTAATGACTTCTCAGAAAAACAAACTGGATCGTTAAAGAATCCTGTACAGTCTCTTAAACCACACCACTTTCAAAATTATGAAAAAAGAGAGAGAGAGAGGCAGAGGCCATGAGAGAGGGAGGTACTAGATGCAAGGAGGTGTAGAGGATCATGCTAAAATACATTAATTAAAAGAACTGCAGTTCAGCAATAAGTGTTCTTCTATATTTAACAAATTGGGCAGCATGTAAACCACTAGCTCATGAAAGTCCTTTTTGCTTCTCTTCTTCTCAAACAAATTTCTTCACTACCAGTTTGCATGTCCTTGTATTCAGTACTTCTTATGCTCCATTAGAGCACCTAGATGGATCTCAGAAGGCATAGGTCAAGTCGCAGTTAGATCATACATTTCTTGCTCACAAAAACTTGAATTGCAATGCCAAGTGATGGGCTAACATCACAATAACAGCAATTTATTCCTCTTTTGATAAAAAGCAGCCTATTCTGGGTGTTAGATAAAGACCAGGGGCAATGCAAACCAACCATTTATCCTAGAACTGAGTAGTATGTCTCCCCTATAGCTGGTATGAGTTTCGTATTCAAACTTTTGTTGGAAGATACTTGTCTAGTGAGAAATCAAAAGCATTTAGGATAGATTTAAAATTGTTGTGAAGGTGGATTTAGTTTAATTAGTTTTGTTTTGTTTGTCCCACACAGCAGTGCCTTTGTTTTCTCTGAAAACATGTACAAGAAAATCTTTATAATCAACAAAGGAGTGTGAAAAATAGTGAAATATTGAATTTCGTGAACCTTTTATTTTTGAGAAGGCTTGAATCTCTGCTGTAACAATAATCAAATAAAGATTGTTAGCTGCCGAAAATAGAACCAGTGTCACTGCAAATTGTGTTTTTAGCTCTAAGAAGAAAACGGTTTTACTCAAATTAGTAGCTGATAATTGCTTTTTATTTCCTTAGTGTCTGTCGTTTGAGTTGAAGGCTTTGCACAGGTGCTGCCATCCCTAAAGTGTGTAATTGATGGCTTGTCTACCAAAGATGCATTTAGGCTTCATCCTGCAAACTCACATTGGAGCTCCACAGGCAGTGAAGCCACTCATCTACATAAGTGCTTGCAGGTTTGGTCCATGTAGATATTTTTTAGAGGTATTTAAGGAAGTTCTCGTCTTGGTTTTTTGTTTTAAAATGGGTATTAAAAAAATCATCGATGTAGGTTGTACTGGATATGAGGCACAAAGTGTGTTCTTTTATAGAGACATCTCTCAGAGTCCCTTGTGTTAGTAGGGACGATGAATTGTTTCTGAGCTCTTAAATTTTAATTAAAAAAAAACAGTGTTTATGAATACGTTGAATATCTTTGCTAAGAAAAAGTTAGGGAAAAGTTTATCAAGTGGTGATTATAAAATGTATCAGAACCATTCAGGTGATGTGCTTTAACTAGTCTCATACTTGGTGTATTTTTAATGTGTTCTGAAACAGAATATTGACCTTAATTACTTTGCATTTGCAAAGTACATTGAAGTGAATGGCATCGTGCAAGAGCTATGCCATCTTCACCAACAATGGAAATGTTAGGCCCATGTAAGGTTTTCCTTCCCTTATGTTGGTAATTTTAGAGCAATGTTGTGTCCTCCTCCTCCTCCTTCCTCAGAGAGAAATGATCTTCTTGTGGACACACATACCCCTGGGCCCAGCCCTAATGCAGCTGGTGCCACTGGCAGTGGGTTGTGATCTTCAGAATAGAAAAGGCCAAAGTAAATGTATTCCATTTCCTGCTGTAAGGTCTGGCAAAGGCATTCTTAAAAATTAAAAACTGGTTCTATCTGACAGCATTCTGGAACAAGGGGACACATTTTTCTTTTTTGGGAAACGTTTGGTTTGAACTGAAAAATGTTGTAAGAATGTGAGGTGAGGCAGGAGAGCTTAAACCCAGGTACCAGCCCAGCTGTAAAATCCTTATTAGACAAGTGATTCATATTTTGCCTGTGGCTTAATGGCTGCATGTTTATGTGAGGAGGGGAGCAGGCTTAAAACTGTCCCCCTCCGACAAGCATCCTTACACCTTGAGCTTGGCTGCAGAGGGTTTATCAAGTGTTGTATCTCCATTACAACTCTTCTTCACTGTTCCCTGAACAAAAGAGGTTGCAGTGGGTGGAGCTTTTGATCCACCTCTTGATATGGCAGGTGGCACAGCTGATACTGCAGGGGAAAGAGGGAAAAGGCAGCAGCACATTGCAGGTCAAACAGAGCAGCATTTTATTGCTGCCTTTCACTCTCTCTCCCTAGTGCAAGAAGGGAATAACCAGGTCCCTGTCTTTTCACAGGGCACTTCATAAATGCATAGTTTAGCCTGGATTTCTTTATGTGTGGTTTTCTTCTTCTTTGAATCAGGGAATGAACACTGATGCCAAACTGCAAATTCCTTGTTCCAGTGAAATGTCTGAGATGCTGGCAGAAGGTACTAGGACCGCGTGCACCAGCAGTTATATCTTAACTTTCCTGTGCAGTGTCATCACCTCATGTTGTTTCCTCAGAAAGAGATGGGTTTGTTGCTTTCTATCTTTTTACTCACTTTTGACGTTCTCCTGAGTCTGATTTAGATGGTTTGTAATGCTGTCACTGTCACAAATCGGTAGCGTAACACTGGTTGTACGCACACCAACATCTTTTGAAATGTTTTAAAAGCTGATTTTAACTCTTTTTCTTATCTGCACTGCAACAGCACTTACTTAACACAGCCAAAATGAGGGCACCCTGATGCGAAACCCCATAAAGCTAAAAGGAAGCCAACACATGATTTAGTGAGTTTGCTGCTGAATGTGTAAGTAAAGGGGGGAACCCCCCTCAGTCATGCCCATTCCCCATGTGAGGGAACCTGAGGCACCGACGCTATTGCTGTCTCCTTTGCCTATGGACATTTAGAAAGCAGCCAGTACACCCTAGAACTGACCCCAGATTTTGTGGGACTTAAGTGCAGCATCTCTTCTGCGAGATCTGTCTCCCTCTCTGACCTGTGGACTCCCTTCAAACAGCTGAATGTAACAAACCTAACTTTTCTTTCCCGTTTTTTAAAGGGTTTAGCCTATTAAGGCTCCTTGCTTAGTCAGCAGCTGGCTTGCTGCCAAAAAGCCCAGCATATTGTTGTGGCTGGGTAAAAGCTGGATATTTTCCATCTCCGTCCAACAGCGGCATTGGATCTTCATTGTCTTCTGGTGTGTAAAGTGTGTGGAAAGTAGAGGGAAGATGCACGGAGCGGTAGTCCAGATGGCATTCCACAGCCTGAGAAGAAACATCTTGACCCTTGAATCTGGGTTAAACTCAACAGATGCCAAGCCCCCCAAAACAAAGAGCTGTTGTGGCTGACGACAGCGAAGGAGCGGTAGTAGGCCTTTGGTAGCAGAAAGTATCTTTTATTTTGGATGCATTTCCCTGCAGATAACCAACACAGTGTCACTTGCAGAAGATTGCTTATTAAAAGCAAGCAAAAAAATAATGTCTCCCTGCACTAGGCACCGTCCCCCTCCAGTCATAAAACATGCCCCTGGGTGATGGGTTATGCTAGCAGAAAAGGATTTGAACATTCAGCTTGTGTTCTGCCCTGCCAGAGCCTGCATGCTAAAAGACCTGTTATTTTTTTTTCTGACTTCAATTAATGTACTTTTAAAATGATTAAACATATCATGCTGTGACTCCTAAAATGTCAACAAGCTTCTAAACTTGGGAGACAGGAATGTAATAAAATAGGTAATAGGAGATTCAATAGTTAATAGAGGCCCTGAAGTGTGACTGTATACAGTAGCTGTATATTGAAAACTGTGCAAATGAAGATGGCTTAGTATTGCAAACTGAGGAAGAAAATTGTTTTTAATTAGCACCTTCATAAGAACTGCTGATTAATACTGTTTGGTTTGGTGAAAAGCTTTCAGCTGAGTAATTTGTACAGCCATTACAACAGTTTTGTTAGACCAGGACTCCTGTTGTTAAACACAAACAGCAGATGATAATGGTGGAAGATGAGTTTGTCATGTAACAATTTACCTTATTGAAAAAAGCTTTATATAAAACCCAATACAGTAGGTACCAGCAGAAATCACATATTTTAAATCCTTTCAAGATTGCAGTGTGCGATGCTAGTGTGTTTTTTCATGGACTAGAAACAGATTTTATATCATTTATAAAATTATATATACAATTTAAAGGTGTTGTAGCATGGACAGACCACTTTACTGGTAATGCTTTACATCAGGACAGTAAAGTGCTGGTGTATTCAA